ACAAATCATTAAGATTTAATGCAAACTCCACATAACAAAACAACGACCATAACACTACATCTGGAGAAATGAGATGTTTGCACAGTGGATAAGGAAAGCCTCTATAATGTCTTGGTGTGAAGGAAGAGTATTTGTTAAAAACTCCAGCTTTCTTGTTTCAACATGATCCAAACTTAATCATCTGAAGAAGAACATTCAATGCAAGTTATACATCTATTTTGTTTACTTGTACATTTTCTCTGTTTTGAGTTAGGGGGGAAAAAGCTTAAGCAATAGAGAAGCCCATCAGGTTGAGTCCCGACAATTGGAGTGAAAAGAAAAATGACGCCACATGATCAGCTCAGAGGAGCGCACATGGGGTTATGATGACAGGCAGCTTGCCTCAGTCAGGCCGGCTGAGCCAGCAGGAACTGAGGTCAGTGGTTATTAATCATTTGTCAAAGACTGCAGGGCTTTATCAGATAATTATAGTTATAAGTATGTTTATATCAGCCAAACATGTGGCAAAGCTGTAAAGGATCCAGGCCCCAACACAATCTGCAATGACATTTAAGAAAACTGCAGATAAGTGATACATCGTAATGCAGACACTACAGGAAATCATGCCATTCCTTATAGCTTGGGCATTCTAGAATTATTTTCTATATTGTTCATTTCCATACACATCTAGAACCTTAACAAACCTTTGATGACATTTCATCTTCCCCTAGTTTTCCAACAAGCTGTAAAAATAGCAAGTATAATCATGTGAAATGAAAAATTGGTTATGGACTCCACTCACATGAACAGACAACCTGAATGTAATCACGGCTTTTATTTATTAATTTTTTTCCAAAAGCCCATTTCTGGGCAAAAAAATCCTGTGCTGTTCTGAAGAATCTACATACACATATAAATAGATGTGCTTAAGGGGCAGCGCTCAAGCCCACGAACCAAGAGATGGCATTTTAAAATAAATGACTCGAGGCTGCAGACGGCATCCATTTTGCTGTCTGGCAGCATGCGAGTTTACATGCTAGGAAACATTTCTCAACATGAATGAACTGTGAAATTGTTTCCTCCCGGCCCACACTCCTCTAAATTGTATTAGATTATGTTAGCCATTTCTGTGTCTTGTCGTAGAGGCTGTTGATGCCCCCAGAGGCAGTGCTGGTGGATGCTAAAGGCAAAGGCCACACATCTGAGATGCTGCCTAAATATCAGCCAGTGTGTAGAAAAAAAGAATGGGAACTCTCACCCCTGCCTAACAATGCAAGGAGCAATGGATCTGTGGCAAATCTAGATACACAAGGGAATACGATGAGGTGAACCATATGTATTTCAATTCCTAGACTGTAAACTTCTCAGGAAATGATTACTACTGCATCCCATCTCAACCTAATGCCAAGGCTGCCCTCTGAGTATAAGTGGATGATTTTAGTGTGAGAAAAACAACACAGTGGGACCAGCAGATGGCATAATGATTACATTATTGGACTCCCATGTAGTTGTCTGCAGTTTGAGTCCTGAACCTGGTGGCTTTAAAAACTCACGCCAGGCCCGTGTGTGTGCATGCCCAAAATCCCGAGGGGAAACTGGAGGAGCAGGGATTGTGGTGTGGCCATCCTGGGGGGAGGGGGGAGGGGATTTCTTGCTTTCTGTCTCTCTGGTGAGTGCACATGCCCTATAGCAAAAAACTCTCTTAAAAAAAGAAAAACAAAATAAAAAACAAATATATGCAGTGTTTTAGATATTTTTATCCTGGATCCAGCTCTTCAAAACAAACATTTTCCTGCTTTGTGGATGGCATACTATCTTTAATTTTAATCATACACACAGAAAACTAAGAAGATAATTATGGTGCAGAAATAAATATCTTTACAGAATAAAATGTAAATGAAAAACTTTGGGGGATATTGGTTGTTCTGCTACTTTAATAAAGCTGGTTGTAAGCTCACTCTCTAAACATATATATATATATATATATTTTACACGCAGTGTAAAAATCATAGATTCTTAGGTTTCGAGAGCAGTTGCAGACACGTCCCTGAGGCCGATATGGCCGTTTCACTGCCCAGGGGGCACTATCACATTCTCAGTGGGTATGCACGCACACACTGGCACCATCTTTGCCATGTTGCCACGGCTCTGATCACAACCATCATTAACTCAGGAAATCAAGAGTCTGCCTGCTTCTCCTGTATCGTTTAGAGCCTCTGTATGCCCAACTCTCAATCTAGGATTCAGGTTAGGAGCTTGTTTATCCTAAAGGGTAGACTTAGAGAGTTACCTTCACATATCTTGTATTTTTTTTCCCCCATAGTATCAGTATCCTTTAAAATTTAACTTTAAAGTTCTATGTTTTGGAGTCTAAAGCATGGGAATACTATTTGTAAGATATATACTAAATACAAATCTTAAGAAGAATCAGAGCTTTCAACTTTAAGTTAAATTACGGGTATTATATGATTCAATTTATTCCATTTTTATATGATGATATATGCTGACCTCATAATTTTATCATCCTCTGTATTTATGGCCCAATAATGTCTTCCTGCCAATTCTCTAAGCTGCTGGATTTATGAGCCAAGAGCCATGCCATGTAATCTGTAGGTTTCCTGAACAGTTATAATTTTCTAGGAAACTGGTGAATAACCTGCTGGCAAGTGGCTTTGATGGCCTTTTATTTTCTGATTTAGCATTTGACCTTTTATTTCACTATGTACAAATGTAAATTAATTTTTCCTAAATGAACATTTAATTTTTCCTAAATGAACATTGGTTGCACAAGATATACTGTCTAATAGGTAAACTTTCTTATATTCTCTTTTTGATATTCTCACATTGAAAATCGATTTGTAAAAGAAATGTTTAAAGTCGTGTACTACCACATCTAAATATTCATTCCTTCATTCATTCAATCCTTTATGAAGTATGTTTTCTACACAGGGCAGTGAAATAAAAGTAAGTAGTGTGATCCTTTGATGGTAGGACTAGATTTTTTAAAGTAAAGTCTATCAAGAGTCTAATAAAAGTCACAGAATCATAAAGATGGAATTGACTTCAGACAGCATGTAACTCAAATCCTTATACACACGAGGGTGATATTGGTAAATGAGGTCTGGAGAGGTTGAGAGGCTGGTGTGAGATTAGAGATGGGGTTACTGGCAGAATCAGGATGAGAATTAGGTCTTCTTTTCTTTTTTATTGAGATTAAAGGCTCCAAGTTCTAATACATCCTACTGTGGCTCTCTTTTGTTCCAACTACAAACTCTGAATTTGTCCTAATTTGGACCCACGTTGGATTTCCAATTATCTTGAAAGCTTACTCAAGCATAGAAAAAAAGAATTCGTGAGGCAAATCTAGGTGAGCTGCAAGATTGCAAATGACATGCTCACCTATCAAGAGAGAACAGATTTTATGGAATGTTAAAATACCCTTTTATATATACTGAAATGACAATCTCAGGTTCTACCTCCTGATAATATCTATTTATGATGGTGACAATTCTACTAGGTAACATGAAAGCGTGACCAGATGAGGTAGAAAGACCATAAACACTCGGAAGAGATTATTGATAATAAAGAACATTTACTCTGTGTCATGAATGTTCTGGGCTGCAGTCAAAGCTGTATAAACCATGCAGCTGCTCTCTTGGGAATTGTGCTAGTTTTACATTGTGTGGTTCTCTGTTCATTGCTAATTGAACCAGAAGGTGATACCTGGACCAAGCTAGGAGAGTCACATTCTCCCTCTTGGAAAGTAGAAATTAGGAGTCAGACATAGTCTGTCAGCCTCGGCATGCACTTTGAACTGTACTATGCAAACTCAAGAGCTGTCCGACAGCCCTATGTGGACTGGGAAGCAGAGAAAGCTGGTGCTTAGGGAGAAGAGTGGAGTAGACTGGAGGAAGCAAGTAAGGATGAAGCGAGGATAGTGTTTGCCTTGTGGCTTTCCAGTTTCTACCTGCAGGACCTCCTGAGGTCTGGCTGTCAGTGGGTTCCAGGATGTGGCCCTGTCTTCTTAATAAATCCTAAATCCTTCCCACCTTTCCCTTTCTCTGTCTTCCTCTCTAGCTTTCTTTTTCTGACTGACTCCCTTTTAATACTAGCCAAGTCATTCTGGTTATGAGAAACCAGAGACCTAAGTCAGAAACCATGTGATAGACACCAGACCCCAGAGGCAGAACTACAACACTATCCTTAGTTTGGGTCTGTTCCATGAGATAACGTGCAACCCAGGTTAGATAGCTTGAAAATGGGATGCACTTGGCTAATGAGATGCATTACAGTAATTATGCCTCTGTGGGTGACGTTCAAGACAGATAGACTTTTCAACGACGTCTTAGTGTGTAATAGTGATAAAGCGATACTGATCTATATGCATAAACTATATAACTGTATTTATCCGAAAGCCATACACACTATATGTATTATAAAACTCTAATTCAGATTTGCTTGTTCCCAATGAGCTTAAAGAATGATTTTTCTATATTGACCAATAACTCATAGGCCAATGAAATTTTTGAAATAATTTTGAGATTACGAACTTCTGAAATTATAAAAAACAAAGAGAAGTGGCCACTTGAACTCATATAAGCTATCTTAATAAAAAGGCATCAGATATATAAAAAAGATTTATGCCTAAAATGTCCTAAACATCAAATACTTATAAAAATAAAATACTATGCAAAAAAGATAACAATGAATAAATGAACAGTTAAAGAGAGCTCACTATTTGCCAGGAACTGTGCTCAGAACTTGACCTCCCCAAAATACACAAGGCAATTATGAATTACTTTGATCTAATGACTTGTTCAAAGTCCAAGAGGCTAGCAGAAGGCGGGTATTTAAATATAGGTAGTCTTGTTACTACTACTGTTGAACTAAGACTTTATAAGAAAAGAATTTTGGAAGCTCTTTGGAACTAATGGATAACCATTTCATGAAACCAAAAAAATGCACAATCTTCTAAATAATCTTCTTTTTTTTTAAAAATTTTGATTACCAATGATTCTTACCGGGGGTTAGAAGGAGAAGGTGGATTCATTTCTTTCTGATAGTGACGACCCTGGTTGACAGGCTGTAAAAGACAAAACGTTTGAGAAGTAGGTATTTGTCAGCACAATGCTTTTCACATATACTTCGGCATCTACATTCATTACTGTAATTTTTTTCATGAGACACAATTCATAAAAAGGGTCTGGGTTTATTTCACAGAACAGTCAGAGGCTCTCTAGGAGGGCCAGCAAAAAGCAGGACGGTTTAAATGAGAAAACAAAGGTTATTTTAATGGCTAGCCACTGGACTTGATAACATCTGTGATGTAATTAAAGTTCATGTGTTGGAATATTCCTCCTTGTGGAATTTTTATGGTGTTAACATTGGTTGATTTTTACAGACAGAGCAAAACATAACAAGATATCTCATGAAGTTTACACTTCATTGCAAGAATTTGCAATAATCTAGCAACCCTGAGATATAAATAAATACACTGATATCTCAAGGATAACTTCTATTACCATGAATGAGAATTACACATGTAGATTTTAGGCCAAGGTGGTCATCTTCCCAAACTATATAATATAACCTCAAACAGTAATCAATGAACTGAGAAAAGTGATGCCAATACCTAACAAAAATATGAAATCTCAAATTTTCCCTGTGTAAGAAACCTTTAAGTTACTATTTCAAAACACAGCTGAACAACTACATCTCAGGTAGCTTAAACACTGGCCTCCAACAGAATGTGATCTCTTTTTCTTTGTTTTACAGAGGGAGAAAATTCTAGTATATCTAATATGAATTATGTTCTTGGATATTAGCTTTAAGTGTTTTTCTTACACTTTAGTGGTTAAAAACAATGTAATTATAATAAAAAAGGTTTTTTTGAAACATTCTCATTTTATTACAAGTTTGAATTTGGTATACATTTTGAATTGTATTCAAAAGCCTTTTGCTGGTTACTTCCAAAGGGGTTGGCAGTAAGGCTTCTTGCTCAGTATACAGAGCCCATATTCTTTATTTTTCCATATATTCCTTATTTTAATGGGTCCTACAATATTAATGACACAGGTGATGGGAATTCTTCAGAGTAAACTGTCCTCCTCTATAAATAATCTCTTGGAAGTGTTCCTTTAATTTAAATCAAACACCCTGTTTGATAATCACAGTCACTTAGCCTGACTACCTGTGATGCACCATGAATTTAAATGTGCTCAGATACTTTGGTAATTGAACCAATATCAATGCATCACCATTTCAGTAATAAGAAACAACAGCTGGGAGAACAGTGGAAGGAAAAACATGTCATAAGACATATTTGATCTCACTAGAGAAATAAGACTTTCAGCAATTTGCAAGTGAAATTTAGTTCTATGATTTAGGCTTTATTATTTCATGGCAAGAAAAGGAATTAACAAGCAAAGGGCCTAACAGGTTTTCTGGACCAACTCACACTGGTATAGAAATACTCCCGATAATACATTCATCGGTATTCATCCAATATTTCAGCTGTACTCAGGCCTCCAGTGAATGGACCTCTGCCTATTTATTTACAGAGGCATTTCCATAACTCTAAGCATCGTTGTCCTGATGTTCGGCCAAATTTCCATTTCTTAATTTTCTATTATTAATTCTATTTATACTCAGCCACAAACTCCTATTCCCAATGACTTCCTCCAGTCCTTGGAAAGTAAAAAATGACTACAGAATGCTATCTTGTTTGTTACTCAGCTCTGACTGTAAATTATATGGACTATAATTTAAACCTTTCCATCTTTGCTCATGTTGATTTAAAACAGATTCAACGTTACAAGAAGTAAATAAAAGAACATAATCAACACAAGACTCGCATTCCTAGTGACTGTTAGTGCTAGAAAACAAAACAAAACAAACAGGGAAACTTTTCCAAATCCTGAGAACTGCCGACATGAATAGATATAAAGGTGAATGACTGTATGTCTGAAGCCAGATGTCCTCCCTGCAAGCAGGTAACTGATGGAGTTCAGGATACACTACTGCAAATATGGCACCTGGGCCTTTGCGAAAACAATAGAAGCAGTCACCCTCACTTCCCCCTGCTGGGGAACCTGGTCATAAAACCTAGAAGGGATGTTCTGACCTGCCCATAAAATAGGTCAAAAGACCCTCATGCGAGAGTGTCCCTCTCTACCCAGAAGAAAGTTGACATTCTTATTTTTGAATACAGAGTCAGAGAAGAATCTGAACAAATGGGCCTTGCCAAGTTTCTCCCAGTTTATTACCATGAGCTCATATCTCCTTTGCCCGGTTATATTTCCCTGTAACTTTCCGTTCATATCAAACCTAGCATGAAAATATATAAATTTAATTTAATCCTTTCTTTGGGTCTTCATTTTCTTATGATATCTCCTATGTTATGAAAAACCTAATTTGTGTGTGTGTTTTTTTTTCTCTTGTTAATCTATCTTTTGTTACAGGGCCCTCAGCAATGAACACAGGATGTGTTAAAAAAATGTTTTCCTTCCCTGCAGCATGCTTCTCTAGATAGGTAGCAGTAGACCTATTTCTAAGTAGGCAACGTCTTGTGAAAGCAATGGTAAGTGAATAAAAAATAGTTGTTTGATTTTGGAATTTAGCCATATCCAAAGAACAGCTAAAATAGATGTAAAAGAGTAACAACAAATATCTACAAATAACTGCAGACAATGACAATAATAGTAGTAGTTGGGGCCAAGTGGCCTAGTGGTTGAGTCGGATCTCATGTGACCAACCATGCAGTTTCAATCTTGGTCCTGGGTGACTTGAAAAACACCCTGGGTGCATGTGCTTGCATGCCCCAAATCCTGGAAGGATGAAAAAATGGAGGAAAAGGAATTATGGTGTGATCGCATGCCACGGAGGGTGCTTTTTTTCCTCTCCGCTCTCTGGCTCTCTCTGGTGAATGCATGCAACCTCTGGTTAAATTATAGGAAAAGGTAAAAATAGCAGTAGTATAATACTCATTGAGCACCTAGTCTCTGATAATTCTTCCTTTTCTTAAAAAAAAAAAAAAGAATTATTGGGACTAGCAGTTAGCGTAATGGCTATGTTGCTGGACTCCCACGTAGTCGACCGTGGTTCGCGTCCCGGACCCGGTGGCTTAAAACTCACGCCAGGCGCGTGTGCGTGCGTGCCCAAGATCCCGAGAGGAGAATGGAGGAGAAGGGATTGTGGCATGGCCACCCCCTCTGGGGGGTGATTTCTCGCTTTTTGTCTCTCTGTCTCTCTCTGTCTTTCTGGCGAGCGCACACACCCTATAGCAAAAACCTCTCAAAAGAAAAAGAAAAGAATTATTTATTTTATTTTACTTTACTTGTTACTACTATTTTTTAATTTGACCAGAGAGAGAGAGAGAAAAGGAAAATAAGAAAGCAAGATACCAGGTTCGGGACTTGAATCCCAGTTGGCCATGTGGGAGTCCAGCACCTTAATTACCACGCCATCTGCTGGCCCCACTTTAATTCTTGATAGATTTTATCTCACTGGATCCTCACATCAGCTCTCTGAAATAGACAGAATTAAGAACTAATGGAAAATCAGACACTGAGCTAAACCAAGGTCATGTCTGCCAGGAAACAGTGAAGCCAGAATTTGAACCCAGGCAGTCCGATTCCACAACTACTAGACTGTAGTGCTTACTCTCACTTGGGAGTTCACCTGGAGTGTTGGATACCTAAGTTTCTGAATACCAAATATGGCAACATCATATTTATGACAGGAAAACTGGTCCTAAAATACATTTATTTAAAATATATACAACTCTCTCCTTAAAATATATTAAATTCATTAGATTTAATCCTTATGATATGTCACTATATATTTAAAATAAAAGAAAATGTTTTGCCACATTGCTAAATTTGGGACAGATGTAAGATATAACAGACAGCACTCTGAGAGTGAGAAAAGCTTATTTCATGGAATGACTTTCATCGTCACTAAACACAGAACAACATGCACATTCCGATATTTTTTCCTGACAGCGTCGACATTATACTGACTCTAATATCAGTTTTTGCGTATCCTTTCTATAGCTCTATCAGAACATCTGCTCATCTGATTTATCTACAGCTTAGCACAATCAACTACTTACCTTTGTAGTTCAAGAGGATTAAAAGAAAACTCATTAGACCCTAAGAGAATTGAGAAGTTAATGAATTTGTTGATCAGAAGAAATTAAGACCTATTAACTATAAAGAGCCTGAAATGCCAGTAGATTATATTTTGGATTCACAACAGCCAGGAATCATGTAAATGCTGATATGCTATTGAGCAAGGCAATGAAACAGATCCTGGAAACTCAGGGCCTCGCCCTGTTGGTGGTGCTGTTGCCATGCGCTAGCTCCAGGAAAACAGCATTCACATAAAATTAACTACCAGGAGCAAAAGAAGCTGTGCTTTTCTGCGATCAAGCTGCCAGAAATTTTGGGGTGAGGGAGAGAAGTGAAGGCTAAATAAAAGAAGAGGAGATAAGATAATCTTGCTATGTTAAAAGGTAAAGACAATATTTTCACGCTGTTAACGTAAAAACCTATGAAAATGGCAATAATGTTGCAAGGTTAATCGAGACCATAAATAACTTGTCTGAGAACCTCACCATATTCTAGTAATTTTATTAAGTGCATTTTGTCTAATTCTTTTCCTCCAAATATTATGCTCTGCAACATGCCATGTTGATGGATGCGTGTGATGAGCTTTTCCTTTTTGCAAGCTGAGGAGACTTAAATGCTTGATATTAGGTTATGGGAATTCTTAACTTGAAGGAATGATGGCTTTAGGACATCTGCTCACAGGGTAGCAAGCACATTAGGCATGCTCTTCTAGGAGGAATAGAGAAATAATGAAATATTGAAATAATGAGTTTACTTGAAAAGCTCTGTAGGGGTCAGTCTGGATGCCAATGGTTAAGCTCACATCAAAACAAGCATGGCAGAGTCTCTGCCCACCCTTATAGCCCTTTGTAGTAATAAAAATGAAAAATGTCCTAGAAATCTTTTCTGATCACTCAAGTGGCCCTTTGAGGAGAGTAACCTCAGGGGAGCAGAAGTTTACAGTCAGTGTGAGCTAACTCTGTCAAGAAGCCCTGGGCACTTGTATTCAGGACACACATTCAATCCACACAACGCCAGTACGCAGAAGGCCCCCTTACTATTCACATTTTACAGCTGATCGTGTCGGTGTCTGGCAGGGCTGGCATTTGCGCCCAGGTTGGCTGATCTAGGGTGTACATTCTATTGACTAACACAGGAAGATGTGTCCATAAATAGCTATTCTTTTTCCTTAAAAAGAAAACACACACAGGTGGTCTTGCAGCCTAGTGGTTAAGGGAGTTGGATTCCACATGGCCGATAATGCATTTTGAATCCTGGCCTTGGCAGCTTGAAAAACCTGCTGGTCACATATGCAAGTGTGCCCCAAATCCCACCAGGTTGGAGAAATGGAGAAAAAGGGACTGTGGTGTGACCATGCCCCATTTGGAGGGTGCTCTCTCCCTCTCACTGTCTGTGTCTTTCTCTGGTTAGCATATACACCCTGTAGCAATTAAAAGAAATAAAAAGAACACACACAACACGGTTTTATGCTACTGTCAATCAAAATTCCTCACCAAGATAACATTCACTTAAAAATCCATTATAACTAACTCCTAGCTCCCTTCCTCTGGCTGCCTAGAGCCTGGTTTTTGAATAAATCTCATGAGGGCAACTCCTAACAGAAACCCTCCAAAATTGATTACTTGTAGCCTGGTTTCCACAGAAGTTGTAAAGTATTGTTTTAATTGAATTTGGTTCTAAGTTAGAAACTTTGAAAAATTTGTCTGTCAAAGGCCAATGGATTTCTCAGTAGGCTTGATTTATTTAGCAAGAGAGGCCTACAAAAGCCAATTTGCTATAAGAAATATGGTTACATTTAATTACACTTTTAAATGACTAATTTATTATATCTAAACACCTTTTAAACAGTACATATTACTCTGAACTGTACAGATGCCGAGGAAAGCTGAGGGATCAAAGCTGTGGTAAACACAATAGATTTTGCTAAAGACTTTATTTTGCTCTGCGTGGGTTTTCTGCTTGCAGACTGCAATGAGTGTGAAGTCATCAGGTAAAGATGCTAAACTCAATGTGACCTGACTACATTTCTTTTTCTTACTGTTGGACTTGCTCGGAGGGAGATTTTTCCTTTGGGTATATTTCATACCCATTTATCAAATCTTGAATATAAAATATTATGCATCACTTGGGATTTCTTTAACCCAAGTAAAGCTCATATTTATTTTGGAATTCTGATAAGATAACCACATTTTAGAGAAAAAAAAAAGGGGGGGTTATTTATTTATTTATTTATTTATTTTTAGTTTTGTCAGAGAGTGTGTGTGTGTTTATGGGGGACAGAAACAGAAACAGAGAGGGAGAGAGGGAGGGAGGGGGAGGGGGGAGAGAGAGAGAGAGAAAGAACACTCCTCTATGGGAAATGGTCACACTACAATCCTGTCTTCTCTATTTCTCTCTCCTTTCAGGTTTTGGACACACACACACACACACACACACACACACACACACACATACACACACCCAATATGTTTCTCAAACTGCTGTTGGGTCTGGGACTTGAATCACTCAGTTGGCCATGTAGCTTGTGGTGAGAGCTACGGGGATATGCCCAACGGCCACTGGTGGAGAGAAGGAGTGTCCCTCACAATGAGACCTGGAGAACTGCTACAAAAGGCTTTGGAGCAAAGTTTTGAGGGCTGATCAGGTACAAGGGACAGGGATATGCACAAAGTGCATTTAGGGAATTGCAAGTGGGACCAAGGCATGGAGTGAACAGTAGAAAGCAGTGAAAGATGAAAGCAGGTCTCAGCTCATGGGATGCTGTGTGCCAAAATGAAGTGGCAATGGGGGGACTGAAGGGCTTTAGGTAGGGAAGAGATTAGATCATATCTGGGCTTTAGAAAGATCACTACAGTGAATATTAATAATAATGACAACTAACTGTTACACTGAGTGCTTATTCTGTCTCAAAAACAGTGCCACGTGCTTCATAAGGTCACAGCTTGGATTTGAACTGTGGCCATCTCTTTAGAGTTATCACAGCTTGGACTAGAGACACGGGATGTTAGGGGACTGTTGAAGGAATTCAGATGCAAAATAAAACGTCTAGGTTGTGATATTAGAAAAGGAAAGGGGTAAAAGGGAAAGGGAAAAAATATTCTCAGGATTTGGAGACCGACTGGCTATGGGAGATGAAAGAGGGGGAGAGTGATGATGTCTTCTAAATTTCTGGCTTGAGCACCAGCGTGAATGGTGACACCACTGACTGAGATACGAGTAGGATATCACTGTGATAAAGTTACCAGTTCTTTCACTACTTATTTTTCATCGTCCCTATGCACCTTCTAAACAGAAAAGCATGAGCTCTGAGAGAAACCACAATGGTGCTTGTAAATTGCTCTATTTAAACTCTGTATGAGCAGCAGGATGCAGAGTTCATTAGGGAATGCAATTTTCTATTTGGTAATCATTCCAGTGTGGGAATGGGCTGAATTTGATGCAATAATAAACATATCTTAGGAATATCAAAGGTAGGCTTTTCAATATTTTCTCTGACTGGAAAATAGAATGTTTTTAATTTCTCGTTTGGTCAGACAGAAAGAAGGGTTATTAAGTCCATTACCAATGGTGTTATTTTTGGCCATATACTTTTACAGCAGAGTAGTTATCATGCAGGAGACTTCAGTCCTTGCCAGAAGAGGACAGTGATGAGGACGTGGTATCCAGGGCAACCAAGAGTTCAGCCTTTTTGGTCCATAAATAATAATTCCTCAGCTTGCCCTTTGTAATGTTGGTTTCTGAGCTACTTCATGACAGAATGAGCTCGACTGGGAGGCCACTGTTCTCCCTCTTACTTGCAGTTTAAATGACTACAAAGGAATATTTCCTAAGAAAGGCAATGTTTCAATTTTATCACAAATTACATTGACATACATTTGCAACTAATTCTTATGATCTTAGCTTTCTACAAGGATGTTTGGTAACCAGTGACTAAATCAGGGGTATGCTCCTGGGTGGGCGGCTGCTCTTTGGGACCAAGACTTCTTGAGGTGTTATACATGTTTGATAGGCGTGCTAATGAAGGAAACGGAACCTGGAAGGTGAACAAGGTGGGACTAAATGAAGAATATTAATGAAAAACTGACAGTTTTTCTCCCCACATCTCCTTAGAGCCAGTTTAAACTCTTCTTCCACGAAGACTCTCGTAATTTCTCTCCAAATCACAGAACTCTCACCTTCACTGGCTATCTACAGCACTGACGTGACAAGTATGTCCCACATCAAGGAGTCACCCTATCATGGCAGAAAAGAGCTTGGATTCGGCAGTCAGGCCAAGCTAGGTCTGAATCACTTTACTCAAGAGCCTCAATTTTTTCATCTGGAAATGGGAACTCTAATAGTACTTACCACCTAGGGCAGTAGAAGGGAGTAAGTGAGATGACACATGTAAGGCACTGGGTGTCTGGAACATCCATAGCACCTATTGTGGCCCCTTAGACACAGAGGGGGGTCAGTGAGCATGTGCTGACTCCGACAGAAGGTTCTTTTTTGCTCTCATATCCAAGCAATATTTAGAATTGCTATAGTCTTCCTCTGCTCATTCATTTAGAAATATGAAATACATATTTAACAAGTATTGAGTCTTTTTTTTTATGTGCCACAGGGCTTGTGCTAGGAACAAGGGATACAATGGGATACCCAAAGTCTATGGTAAAATTATTCTTTTCTTCTTTCAGCATATGGTTTTATACATCATTGCACATACATTTTCTGAAGGGTAAATAAGGTAAATTAAGGAAAGACAATGTCGGGTCGGATGGTGACGCAGTGGTAAAACATGATGCTCTGTAAGACAATCCCACATGGGAGTGTTCCTGGTTCAAGTCTGAAGACCTCCCAGAGTATGGGCACACCTGCCCATGATTCAGGGCTGGCTGAAGGCTGGGCGTGGATCACATTAGGACCCTGTTGGGGATGCTGACTCTTTCTTTTCTCCTTCCCTCTCACACATGAAAGAAATAGATAAATAAACTTAAAAAAATACAAGGAAAGACATTATCTCCTAATCTCTGCCCTAGCCCTAAAACACTATCTCAGAAGGGGTTCTGAATATTTCTCATAGGGAGTACTGTCATTCTGGCCCGAGTTTTCCCCAGCAGGGCTGGGCTCTGTTAGGAAGAAGTCTGCTCCTCATTAAGGTAACAAGACAAAGACACGAAGCCTGGGACTCACGGGTGGCAGGCAGGAGTTCCAGGTGGTCGTGTCGTCGCTGCTAGTACTGATGCTGACGTTGCAGTTGTCAACCTGGGATGCGCTCAGGCCATGGGAAGCCTCAGCCTCCTCCAGTTCTTCGTTTTGCTGGCGCCGCAGGCTCGCCAGCATCTGTAACTCGGATTCACTCATCTTGCTGGGCTGGTAGTTCCTCCAGTCGTATTCCTGACCAAGGGAGAGGAAAATGAGAGAACAACGGGTCACTTGGCCATTCTTAATTCTATGGGCTACCAACAAAAGCTCTTCTACAGCCTTAATCCCTGCAAGGGCTCCCCATCGACAGATCCTTAACATGCCTTCATGTGTCACTGAACCCCTTGCCTCACCTGTCTGTCCCTGACATGCCAGTCACACTGCCTTTCACGGAGGTCCTTAAAAGCATTGCACTTGTGTCTGCCTCAGTTCTGCATATGCTCACCCACTTGCCCCAGGTATTGGCTAACTTTGAGGTATCCTATAGTCCATAAAGTATGTGTCACTTCCTTACGGAGGCTTTTCTCACCCACAACTGGGTCAGCTCCTCAGCACTCTCAGAGAATCTTAAAGTATGCACTACTAGCCATCAAATTAAATTTGAACATAAGGAGGGAATATGGAAGGTCTGAGAGCCAGAAAGGCCTCGTGGTTCCTACACATCTATACTGTGCCCTGAAAACATTTTTTTTTTTTAAAGACTACTACTATAAATCTTTAGAAGCTAATATAAATATTACTTCAATGTACAGGGAAGAAATTGCCATATGAACTTTTCAGAGTTTTTTCTGGCCTACATCAGATTTGATGGCAAATTTTAATTTCAGCATTGCTAAAATATTACTATCACACATAAATAGTGCAGTTTATATCCAGGACTGATATGTAATCTAAAAGTAATTTTGAAAGTTTCTTATATAGCTGGAAATACTGGCTTTATTCCAAAAGGTTTTTTTTTTTTTTTTTTTTAAGGCTCACTAGAATTTTTAGATATTCAAATCTCTACACTTACTTTCTTGGAGGCCCCTTTGAGACAGCTACTGCCTTTTCTTGCTTCTTTTCTGTCTCGTAGGGATGTAAAAAGTTAAGAACATATCATTTTGAAAAAAAAAATTGGATTCTAATGACATTAAATGCTTTTTAATAAAGCATTATGATCATAATAATTTGGGGCTTATAAAAGGCTGTTATCTAATAATGTGATGTGGAGATTTTTCTGGAAAGTTGCCAGTGGAAAGAAACTCTGTAAAATCTTTACAGTTCACAGCACCAGCAGCTTGGCACCCTGAGAGGCCGTGCAATCTTTAATAAGAGATTTCATGAGTATTTAATGTGCTTTGAGAGTTCTTAGGGGCAAAACAGATATCACAAGAAGAAGAACAGAATTTATATCCCAATGAAAAGCACTAAAAAAAAAGGAAATAGAAATCATCTAAATTTAAAAGAAGGAGCTGAGGAGACAATAAACACATGAGGAGATGCTCAGCATCATTGTCATTAGAGAAATACAAATTAAAACCACAGCGAGATACCCTTCTACCCACTCGATGATTATAATGAAAAAGACAGCCATGGGTGGGTATCAGTGCGGACATAGAGAGACTGAGATCCTCACACATTCCTGGTGGGAATGTAAAATGGTGCAGCCATTTTGGAAAACAGTGTGGTGATTCTTAAAATGTTAAATGCAGTTCACTGGGTGACCCAGCAATTCACTCCTAGGCATATACTATGAGAACTGAAAACATATGTTCACACTTGTGTTCAAACATAGAGACAAATGTTCATAGCAGCATCATTTACAACCAAATATTCATCAATGGATGAATGGAGTTTTATTTGTCCAGATAACTGAACATCACTCAGTCATGAAGAGTAATGGATTGATAGAAGCTATGACCTAGATGAACCTTGAAAACACTGTGAATTGGGAACCAGCAGTTAGCGTAATGGCTATGTTGCTGGACTCTCACGTAGTCGACCGCGGTTCGTGTCCCAGACCCGGTGGCTTAACTCTCACACCGGGCGCGTGTGCGTGCGTGCCCAAGATCCCGAGAGGAGAATGGAGGAGAAGGGATTGCAGCGTGACCATCCCCCCTGGGGGGTGATTTCTCGCTTTCTGTCTCTCTGTCTCTCTCTGTCTGTCTGGCGAGCGCACGTGCCCTATAGCAAAAACCTCTCCAAAAAAAAAAAAAAAAAACACTGTGAATTTAAGGCAGACATAAAGGCCACATATTGCCAACAGGCAAATCCACAGAAACAAAGGAGATTGGTGGATGCCAGGGATTGCAGGAATAGGACGTGACTGCTAATGGGTATAAGGAACTTTGGGGATGAGAAAAATGTTCTGACATTAGCTCATCATGACAGTTACAGAATCTGTGAATGTACTAAAAACTCCTGAAATTTAAACTTTAAAGGGTACATTTTATGGTATACAAATGATATCTTAATTAAAAAAAAAAAAGTAGTAGTGGGTAATCAAATGTTTCAGTGAGAGCACCAGCCTCTTGACTTCAGGTGCAACAGTGAATAATGACCTGGTGTCCTTCACTTCAGTTTTTTTCTGTCAAGAAATGAAACTTCTAATGTGTCACACAGGTATGTTATCTAGCTTGTGATGGATAAAACATATTTTTATAATTGAAAAGTGACAATTTAATTTCTATAATTTTTCTTAAGAAGAAATTGCTTAAAAGGAATTTTTCTTAATATGTACTTAATAAGATTGATTCATCTATTCAATTTATTTACCTGACCCACAAGACTGGACTATACCTGAAGAGCAACCATGGGTGCTAGGACAGAAAAATATGACAGAATGGGGCAGTGATTAAGTTGTGCAGATCTAAATCTGCCCCTAGTGCCACCATTTGCCAACTGTACATGATTGGATAAATGACCTACCCTCCCCATTTCTGTCTCTTGATCTATAAAATGGGGACCATGGCATATACCTCGTGAGACTTTGGTGGACTAAATAATATATATGAAATGTTTTACTATAGTATTTGACAAGCAGTTATATTAGAGGTCTCCAAACTTATGATTTGTATCTTTCTTAGAAAATGCTTGAGTATGTACCTTTTAATATGTTTATTTATAAGTTAAACACATGTACAATTACATTAAAATAGTATGTATAGTATAAAACAGACACAAATTTAAATGTCTGAGATTTAAAAATAAATGAAAACAATTTCAAAATTGTGCTCCCAAATCCAAATGGGTTGTCTCTAGCACACATTTTAGTGGTGAATACATCCGTCTTAGGAAACCGCCAAGTTGCCTATCAATACAGGTATTCCCTGTAATTATTACTCTTTGATTTTCTCTGTCCCTCTCCTTCCAGTCTTTCATCCATCCTGTACTATGCTAAGTGCTGAAAGCATAAAGAACAAGGTGCTCCTTTGTCCTTGTGGAGCTCAGGGTCTGAAAGGCAGACATTACAGGTATTACATAACAGGAATTATAATGCACTGTGATCAATACCGCCACAGAGATATGACTAAGATGCTTGAGGAATACGGAAGTGACTAACTGCCCAGAAAAACTACAGAAAGCCTCACAGAATTCTAAGGTAGCATGTGATAGTAATTAAATTTGTTGACAAATGGAATAAGTAGCCTTGGGAGGGACTCTCTACCACTGGCAATGATGAAGCAGAGGCTGGGGAGTAGCAGGCTCGGAGAGCGCGTTAATCTGCTTTGGTGGAAACAGATGGATTCATTAATAGATTCCACAAATGCTCAGTGAGACCCCACCATGTGCCAGGCACTGTTGGTGCTAAGTTTGCTGGAAACTCTGTATTTCCATAATTTTATTTAACAGTAAAATGTATTCTGACAAGATCTTGGAAGGGGCAGCCAAAAACAAGCAGAGAGAAGAAAGGAACTTCCTCCAGAGTCACAAATAGGGCAAATGGTGGCAGTGACAGGTAATTAGCTTAGTTTCTGAGACATTTTTGATTTGCAGTCTCTCAAACCATCTAGAAATCACCAGAAAGGCTATATCATTTATTATTATTATTTCTTTTTTTTCTAAAGAAGGCTTGCAATAATGTCTTCACATGAAAGTGGACTTCAGCATAAGATGTCATCTAACTAAATTATGTAACTGCTGAGAGGCAAAACGCCTTATGTAATTCTATCTCTGAAAGGCACAAAATGGTATGTATAACTCAATTTCATCTCAAAATACCCTTGTAGGAAAAAGGGGAGACTTTATCAATCAGATTGGTTTTAGAAACAGCAGAATGGGCTTAAGGTCATAAAATTCCACTGCATTTAGATTTCCAGGCAAGTCTTTTGCTCACTGAGCCATGTGAGCCATTTATTTTCATTGCTCTTTCTTCAGATGCCGTTGGAAGTCTAAGTCAGTGAAGTTACAAAGATCATGAAGATAGGGCGCCTGGCCTTTCACAGGCCTTGCAATCTAGCAGGGCAGTGGAGAGCTATAAAGAAATGACTGCAGGGGCCAGCAGATGGTGGAGCCGCTTGACTCCCACTTGGCTGACCATGGTTCACGTCCCAGACCCAGTGGTTTGAAAATCACACTGGGCACGTTGTGTGTGCATGCCCAAAATCCTGGGAGAATGAATGAGAAAGGATTGTGGTGTGTTCATCCCCCTGGGGGTGTAATTTCTCATTTATTCTCTCACTGTCTCTCTCTGGCAAGCTCAGTGCTCCAAGGAAAAAACCTCTAAAAAACGAGAGAGAGAGACAGAGAGAGAGAGGCAGAGAGAGAGAGACAGAGAGAGAAAGGAGGACTGCAAAATAAGGTAGCATATGTTCAGTATAGTACTGATAAACACACACAGCTTTGATAATGATTTGAAGGAAAACTGGAAACTCCAGCAAAAAGATAAAAGACAACCAACATAACCAATAACCTTTCAACTTGATGCACATCACCCAATCTCTGTTCGTAAGGCAATCTGAAGACAGATTGTAGCTGAATCCATCAAATAGCTGCCTACATGTGAACTTCAGATAAGGATCAGTTCCAATGAACTATGGGTGACACAGGCTAAATTTATAAGTGGTGGTGTGAAGAAAAATGCAACATGGCCATGGGATAAGATTAGATCAAGAACCTTATTCTGTTCTTCATGGAAAGAACAGAATCGGAGAAAAGGAAATCAGCAATACTGTATCAAAGCAATCTAGGTATTTTCATCCCTATAATCCTAA